CAGGTCAGTCTGGACAACCTCCAAACTATGCCGTACACCCTGGACAGCCTGGAGTACCTTTTAGCTTTGACAATCCAATGGAACAATATGGACCACATTCTCAGCAACCATATTTTCATCCCCATCAACAACATCCTATGTTATTCATGCAACAACTGTTTCATAGCCTTCCACCTGCTAAACAACAAGAATGATGATGATGATGAGCCAAAACATGTCTGCCAGTATGTCCACAAATCATCCAACTTCAGAGATAAGAACTGAAACACACCCAGAAAAAGAACAAAGTCCTGCTGACCCTATTTCTAGTGATGATGAAGGTGAGATTATTACTATCATTAAGAATTATAGCTAAATAGAACATTGAAGAAATTATATTGTGTACCATAGTTGTTTTTATATTTGTCTTTATGTTTTGGGTTCCGGCGTGATAGTCATCACTATCGCTATTGGTAAAAAATGTGAGATTATAGCGAGAAAGTGTCATTCACACAAATTCTTGGTGCACTATTGGCACAAAAACAAATTCTCACTGCTCCATTGCTTCTAATGCAAAATCTTGCCATTTATTAGGAATCAATACACCGATGATTAACTCTCTAGAGGGGGGGCAAGAGGGGTAGCTGGTACAGTTTTACCGGAAATGAAAAGGGCTTTATACAATTTACAAGAAAAAAAAGACGTTTTTACTGTTTACAATGAAAATTGAATTTTGCAGTGAATTGTGTCATATAGTAGTTTTATAGTTTCGAAAAAGTAATTTCCCTGGATCATTCTTTACGACTTTTTTTTATTTTGATGTAAATTTTTGTACGTACGAGAAAAATTACAGATTTTTACAGTGTACGAAAACAAATATTTGATTGATTACATTGTACGACTTGCCTGTGATTACAGAATTACGGAATTTATTTTTTCAATTTACGTTGTACGAACAATAAAATATTGCAATTACGTCTCTAATTTTGATCAAGAAGATGAAAATTGGCTAATTATGCAAATTATGCAAATTATGCAAATCAGCTCTTCTGCATTTTTGACCAGGCACCTATGTTTTATTGAATCCAATTATAGGTTGGAAAGCTGAAAATTGGTTATTTATTTTGCAAATTAGAAAAGTATGCATAGTTCTTAACCTCAAACTGAGGTCTATGCATTGTCTCCTCTCGCCTTGGGGTAACAAGTTCCATTGAAACGTATTGAGAGGCAGAAAATTAATTATTTTCCAATTAGATAATTAATTCAGCTCTAAACTGCTAAGGTCTGTTGCATTCGTTCCTGAGCAACTATGTACTAAGTTTCATCGAGATGCAATAAATCAGTTTTTGAGATATCAGTGTAAAAGCTCACAAACTAATTATTATGCAAATTAGGTATATACAAAGAGATTAACCTAAGTTTCGTCAGGTCTTCACATTGTTCAAGATCATAAACCAAGTTTCAGTAAAATACAATGATTAGCACTTAAGATACCGGTAAAGCCAAAAGCCAAAAGGTGAATAATTATTATTCAAGCTAGGTGATTAATATGCACATATTTTAAAGGTTTTACAATGTACCAGAGCATTTATCTACAAAGGTTCATTGAAATGTGATGATTAGTACAAAGGGAAAGTTGAAAATTGAT